TCTCAACAAAGGCAAACTCTGAAAATAATTCCACGTATATAAAGAAATAAATTAAATGATTCTAAAATGGAAAAGACCGTTATTTGTGTGTTATGAACTGGCCAGTTTTTGTCTCTCTGGTGAATCATTGATGTTCTGATACAGAAACAGCTTTGAAACGACCAGTTTGAACAGAGAGAGAAGGTTCTGATCACAACGTGACGGCCACGTGAGACTATCGAGCCACCGGTGCGGCGAGTGGTGCATACGCGATCGAAACAAAACAGTTTGACGTGGGCCCTACATGGTCACGCAGGGGACGCATCGTCACGTGAAAAAGGAAACTTCCATGGTCAGTGCAAAATGGTTCCGTGGCAATTTCGTAAATCAAATCGAGTTTCAAGGGTGAAACGTTACCTCTTGCACGTGGTTAATGGAAAACACTTGGTGGCAAAAGTGGTAAATTACGGGTTAATTGCGGGGTAAAGGTACAAGTTCCCACGTGCTAGGTCCGGAGGACACGCGTGACCCATTGGTGTAGTGGCAATTTTTCGTAAATATAGGGTCAAATCTTGGGTAAATTCGGTAGTCTAAGGCTTTATTATGTTTTTCTTTTGGATATGGAAGTATTAAATCGCCTTCTCTGGCACGAGAGTTCACGATTTAGCTCCTTCATCTTCTTCTCCAATTCCCGGTTTTTTTTTCCCCGATCACCGGAAAATTTGACAGTGTCGAACTTTCCGACAATTCGAGAAGGTGAAGTTTTAGCCATCAAGTTGCTGCAACTAACTGTTACCTTTTGATTCTCGCCGTCGAATCAGCTCGGAGAGATTTTCCGACGAGATCATTTTCTCACTCCGAAAGTGAAAATACAAGTTCCTTCTATAATCTAAGCAGATCGGAAATTGCGCGCACTATCAGATCTGCAAGTAAAGCTTCACCAACGATTCAAACACTTTTTCCGGTCGAATTGTCTCTTTGATCTGTCGGAAAAAAAACAGAGAGTTTTCGGTGTGAGTGATGACGTCGGGGACGAGAATGCCGACATATAGGGAGAGAGAGAACAACAAGAGGAGAGAGAGAAAACGGAGAGCAATCGCGGCGAAGATCTTCACCGGATTAAGAATGTATGGTAACTACGAGCTTCCTAAGCATTGTGATAACAACGAAGTGCTTAAAGCTCTCTGCAACGAAGCTGGTTGGATCGTTGAACTCGATGGTACTACTTACCGAAAGGTTCGTCTCTCTCTCTCGATCTCATTTTCTACTGATTTGCATCTAACATGCGCCGGAGCTTCTCCGGTGTGCGTAGGTTAGCGTTTAATTAGTCAAAAATGTTGGATTCTTCTTTGTGTGATTGATTTACTGTCTCTTCTTCAGGGTCTAGTCTATTTCTCAGATGATACCAACCAAAAATGAAAAAAAAAAAAAGAGAGAGCAAAAGTAGAGCATAGATCTCTAGAAAACTGATTAAAAATGTGTCACATTGCACATATTTCAAAGTGTGCGTTTTTTTCAACTGTAGATTTCTGGAAAAAAAAGAAAAAAAAAGGTGAGTGCTTTTGCTTTACTGTCTCAAGTCTTTACTCAGATTTCTCGAGAATCGAGTCTAATGATAATCTGTCTGGTCAGAAACCCTTTTGACTCGATCGATTTTAAGAAACAGAGAATTAGTTGTTTTGACATTGACACTGCTTAACATTAACTTAACTTGATATGTTTCTCTGTAATCTCATTTGGATGTTCTGTTTCTGATCATGTTTGTTTTCCAGGGATGTAGTAGACCTGTAGAGCGTATGGAGATAGGTGGCGGTTCAGCAACCGCGAGCCCGTGTTCTTCGTATCAGCCAAGCCCGTGTGCTTCTTACAATCCTAGTCCAGGCTCATCGAACTTCATGAGTCCGAATTCTTCTTCTTTCGCTAATCTCACCTCTGGAGATGGTCAATCACTAATCCCATGGTTAAAA